TGATTTTGTCCTTCATGACTTCACTCCATTATTAGCTGACATGAATTACTGAATTTATAACAAAAATACTTTACAAATGACAAAAACAGTGTCCTTGTTACTTTCTATATGTATATTGCCTGTTGTTTATCATCCCAGTTTCACAACAAGCACAAATAATTTTATGTATTAAATATACACTGATCTGATTTACCACATTTACTCTTGAAAACCATATATAAGTTTTGAAAAAAATTATTCCAAGTCCAGAAACCTTTCTGACTGGATCAATGACATATCTTAATCATATCTAGCACACTTACTAAATAATATTTCCTTCAACAGTATGCATGTTCAAGTATTTTTCATGTCTTTTTGTATAGACAGTTGTTCTGTCTTGATTTTGTGAAGAAAAATGATCCAATGTTTGCTTTACTGTGCTTTTATTTCAAGACCTAATTTTTTTCATTGCCTTAACCTGATTCTTTTGATATGTATATGTTTACTGAAGCTCCAAAGTGTTGGCATTTTGAAGTCATAATGAGTTCAGGATGTAACAGCTTCTTTTACGTTTTGTCATCTACTGAACCAGTCATTATGACCTGTCACTCCTACCATATTCTGAAGTTTAAATGTTATTTTGTGGTCTCTGTCAAAGTAAATGTAACTAAAGTATAATTTGGAGGTGCCCAACAGGAATATATTCAACTATTTTGTGAGTAGTTGTTTTACTCCATTGTTTAATTTTTTTTTTACTTTTCACATAGTTGATAATTCAGTAATTGTACTGCAATGAGCAGTCACTATTATGAGATAAGTGACAATTATCCAGTTGTATTTCATTATCAAAGTAATGTTTCCTGTATCTCCTTCTGGGTCATTTGTTTTAATAATATTTTGGTTTTTATATTGTTCTAAATGTTTTTAATAAATCTTCAATAGGGAGACAGATGTTTTTTGCTTTCTCTTGGAACCAATATAGCCTTTTCCAGCATTGGCTTTCAATTGTTAGCAATGTCACTTTAACAGTACAGTGTGCTGGTAGAGTTCAATGCATCACTGAACCCGTCTTGATGTGGAAGTACATTAAACAAATGTGGTAATATGCATGTTTGGAATCATAGTTCAGATGACCATTTTTCCTTTGGTAGTGTTCTTATATACCATAAATTGATTATATGCTTAACATATTCTAGTTTTTTAACTTGTAAGTATACTACTTAACTATGCATCAGTGTAAGACCTCTATTAGGAATGATAATCAACTGGTCTGTATGTTTTTATGTTTTTGTGTTTTTGTTTTGTTTTGTTTTTTTGAGGGGGCATCCCCACATCATACTAATCATCCTGTGTGTGTAGCAATATTTATCAAAGATCTGCATGTGCCAGCAGCTCACAAAACGTGCAAGTTTTTAGTTTATTTTATCCCACTGACTAATGTAAGGACAGTCAGTACAAGAATTTAACAAAGCTCATACAACTACAGAGCTACTTTCCAGATGAGACCTCAGCACTATCTGAGGTATTTTCTTCCTCTACTTACTTATAGAATTCAAAGGGAACTTACAGTTTCCATATGGAAAGTCAATCCACAAGTATTTACATGCTAATACTGACCCAGAATAAATATCCATCAAGTATCGTGTATAATGATAGCAGGAATTCAGTTACACTCAATCTTTTTAGCCAACTGCTACTTCAGGACTTTAGTCAGTCTGCTCATATTGGGCTTCTGAATCATGCTTACTGTCTCTTAATTGCCCATTTACTCTTTTGTCCTCTTCCATTAATACAAGATCATCACAGAATGGAGTCATGCTTTTTTTCCAACTTGCTCCAATTTGTAATGATCTTGCCTGCCTGTTTGCAATCACTTAACATCCTACTGGCATGCACTTTCTTGTTGCTTTAATGCGTGAGAAAGTTATTGCATTTAATTAACCATTAATGAATGCAAATCAGCAGTTATGAAATGCAAAAAAATGGAGAAGGAGGCTCCAAAGACTAAATTGTTTGGGGAAATCCATATATATGGCCAGCATAAATTAAAATAATAGAGGGTAATTTTTTAATGGAAAATTTCTGATGACAGAGGAGACCTATAAAGCTACATGACTTCTGTTGATTGCAACGAAAAGATAGATCATATGTGAAAGTATGGGAAAATGTTATTTACCATCTAAGTCAACAAAATACTGAGCAGGAGCTGGTTTGCCCTTATTCTAGATGTTGTACAACAGTCTTAGTGGTTCCTGTACGTAATGAAATGGTCTCTGTCAGTTGCTCTATCCTGACAATAAACACCTACTCTACTATTGCTTCTTCCAGAGACCCACACTATCACTGAACATTTTTCCTGCTATCTCATTCGGCCTATGAGCCGCTCATTCACAATACTTTTTTTTTTTTTTTCTGTAAATAAGAAAATATGTTAAAAGGAAGCAAAAGACATAGAAATTAAAAAAAAAAAAAAAAAAAGTTTTTGTTTGTAAATTTAAATTGTTGATAATTGGAAAAACCTGGAATCTGTGTCCTTAAGTTAGAGTTTAAATTATACTGCCCTTAAGAGTCCTTAACGACTGCATATGCTTATTGAAAGGCACATTTCCTCATCATCTCATGAGGATCCTGTGATTACATTGGAATAGCAAATTTCATTAAAATAAATGGGTAAAAAAGGTCAAACTCCTAATAAATAGTGCTTTTTAGATTGTACTTTTAAATTCTCTTATGGGAACCAAAAATAGTTATTGTAGTACTATTTGCTTAAAGAAAGTCTGAAATAGTAGCTCTCAGAGGAGCGAACAATTTAGTTCAGTTTCAACTGAATTTTAAAGCTTCAAACCCAGGTTTTGTCAGCTTCATCAGCTGCATTCAAGCAGAGGGCAATGATAGTAGAACAAAAAATCAATAGTATGTAGGGGACATTCTGCTAAATTCATGCTTCTCTGGGATGAAGGCAGTTAAAAAATAAAAATAAAATACAAAATAAAATAATTATGTGCACCTAAAACCAAAACCTCATCATCTACTCATCATTCTGAGGAGTGATATCTCCCACATAATTTCTTTGTTTCTTCTGCAGAGAGGAAGCTATCATTTGAACATTATCCATGTGTTGATACCCAATGCACAAATTAACTGAATATGGCCATAATTAATTCTTCTCTTCATCTCACTTCATATAATCTGTCTATCCAGTATGATAGGCTATGATTTCCTAATGGCTATGATTTTTATGGCTATGATTTCCTAAAATATTTGCCTATTTGAATTTTTGAAACATATCTAGTCATATTTTATGTATTTTTACCCCAATGAATTATATTTCAAATCATTATTTTAAGATAGCTTCTGCTATTATCTCTTCTGTTATCAATATCACTTGCCTACTTAACAGTCTGAGGCAGATACCTTGTTTTTGACCTCATCTCCTCTTCCCAGGTTTCTGTGATCACCAAATCCCAAACTACTTTTTCTGCAGCTTTCTTAGAATTTACTTCCTAATCCACATTCCAGAGAGTTGAAGTTGAATAGAATTAAGCCCTTAGCACCTGTTCTGCTGAATATAAAGTAGACACAGGTATTTCTTCTTCACCTAAATACATCTTTCATAATGCTTTCTGCAGCTTTCTTCAGAACAGAATGTTTAGTGGTTTCTACTCTTGTACCGCACCTGATTTTGTATTGCTCTAGTTAAACAGATCTTTCTAATGGATATTCTCAGATTACCTGCCTACAAGGTTTTATGTAAAATATGTGCATATATCTCTGCAGTTTATCATACTGGTATTCTTTGTCAGTCCTCTGGAGAAAACAAGTGTTATTCATTCGGCATTAGTTACACAGTGTGTGTCCTATTATTGTGCTTAGTAATTTTACGATGAGTTAAGTAACATTATGGAAAACTGAAGAAGCATTTCTCTTTTAGATAATGTATCTCAAGTAACAAGAAAAAATCATTTTCTTATTTCATTAAAAAAAAAAAAAAAAAAAAAAGGAGATTCTCCTCTAAAATGATTCCTATTCTAAAAAGATGTTCTACCATTATCTGAAGCAGTGTAAATGTTGCACTGCTCTGTTAGGGCTTCGGCAACAGAATTGATTCCTTGATGATAATATCTTTAATTTTAATATGTATTTGACTCATTTACCCATAGCTACCAAAACAATTGTAAAAAGTTGGCATAAAAGAGCATAAAATTAAATGTAGGCACGAAATATCTATAATGAATGCAGATGGTAAATATTCTAGGTTTGCTCAAAAAACTTTCAGGGCTTATTCTGAAAATAAAAGAACCCTTTTATTCTTCTCCTAATGTCGGGAATGAGTATGTTCCACACTTAATTCTCCTATTGGACACTTTATAGTGAGATGGCTGGCAATGTTTATTTAGAGTGAATCAATCATCTATAGTGTAAATGCAAACTCCTCATAGATCTTCAGTGTCAGATTAGGTTAGCAATAACATTTTACCTAGTGTATTTCTTATTGTTCTAAAGATAAAAATTACTTGATTATCAAATTATAATTATCAAAACTAAATTTGTACACTTGATTCTGCACCTAGTTTAGGAGCATAGAGTAAGTAAATCTTGTTTCAAATGCTCTTCCTGATCAATTTTTCATCTTTCTCTAATGAAAAATATTTTCCTAAAGCCCAGTGACTTTGTGCAAGGTGATAAATTGACCTAAACATCTTTTACTTACATACTTCAGTTTCAATTACAGCTTCTGCTCAGAAAGTAGGGAAAGTATATGATGTTGTAGAATCTGGAAAATAATTCAGCATGTATTCTCCTTTCATATTTTCTGAAAAAGAGGAATAAGCCATGCAGTTACTACAGAAATGTCCCTTTATTCATATGATTTTCATCATTATCCTACAGTAGATTTTCTTTTCCTTTTTTCCTCCCACACATAATTTGGAAGGAAGTGTCTAACACGTCTCCAAATCTTAATGTGTTTTTTTTCTTTTACTGACTGAGATATTAATCTATTTTTTCATTCATTTTTATAGATTAAAAAAATCAACAGGAATTTCCCCGTAAACCAGCAGGTAAGAAAAATAAAATTTGGATATTTTCATTCATAATTCTAACTTCTGTGTTTAATTCTGTGGTAGCTGTGTGTTGTTTTAGGTTAAAAAGTTCGTGGTAAATTTTCTTTAGAGAGTACCTTGCTGCTTTTTTTTTTTTTCTTCCTGATGTCAGTGTGACTAGTTTGGTATGTTCATATTAAATAAGATCATGCTTAATCTTTTCAAATTAAATGAAGTTTAATGCATATATTCAAACTTAGTTTCTTCAGATTGCATGCCACCCATTTTGTTATAAAAGCAGGAAGGGAATTGCTATGCTTAACAGAATTACCCATTATTAATCAATGGTTGTCTACTATTTTAAAACATGAAAATTCTCTTGTCTAAATGAAAACATAAAAATGGATATAAATGGTTATGGGGCAGATCAGTAGGAAAATTTGGAACAAACTGCATTATCTGATTGTCTCCAAGTTCACCATTTGACAGTATCGTGATACTGGAATGCATAGCAGTGCCTTGAAACAGCAGTAGAATTCTTTTAAAGAGGTGTTTTCTTGCTAGCAGAATGGCTACTTTTCTCTAAAGCTGAATATTGGGTATTTGGATCCTTGAGTCAAAGGGAAACATTTAGATGGCTTGAAGTTGAGAGACTGGATTTCTGTTCTGATCTTGTAGTTGCTAGAGATCAAATGAGGATGGAAAATAATCACATCTCTGCATTGGGATCAACACATACTTAAGAAAACCATAAAAACAAAGCATGAACAAAAAAATTCAGAGTGAAGATGAGTACACTGTAAAGTGATCAGAGGGTTGTTTGGAGCATAATCCCATACCACAGAAATGCTTTTGGGCTATGATATAGCCTATCAGCTAATATCAGCAGTTGAAAATGTGCCTGTTTGGTAGCGGGCTACTTATCTCAGAGTACAATTCTAGTAAATAAGATGAGGTAATTCAGTTTTCTTTTTTGTTGTGTATCATAAATGTTACGTAACAGGGATTTCTTTTTAAGTAATGGAGTAGTGGGAAACAGAAAAATTAGGTTCATCGGGAGAAACAAATTGCCTCCATGTTTACCAAGAGAATTATGTACAGCACTGAACTGCAAACTTGACTTCATGAAGATACATTTGAAGAATGAAAGTACTTTCCTCACATTTCAGTCAAGATTATATCTGAGTTACATGTCTCTGGTCCAACTTCATTAGTATGGAATTTTACTAAGTGTAATTCACACAGCAGGAATGGGCATTATTAGTTTCTTTGCTTCTTTCCTCTTCAGAAGGTGCACAGATCATAATAAAATAATAACAAGTATTTATATGCCTTGTATAAATAAAGTTAGAACAGAGGAAACATAATAAATTAGGCACATTTTTATTTGTGCATTTTTTAATTCTTTGTACTACAATTTTATAGACCTTTAGATATGTTTATCCCACTGTTGGTTCCTGATGTTACCAAGAAATTGTTTGCTAGATTTAGCAATCAAAGTTAATTTTATTTAAGCATTTTCAGAACAGTTTCTGTAATATCATCTGCTGGCAGTGACAAAGAAGTGCTCCTATCTCAAAGGAGAGACAAAATGCCTATTAAAGAAAACAACAACAACAACAAACACTTAACATTTCACTGTTAGGATTTACTCTGAATTTGTGTCCATGTTTTTATTAACTTCAAAAAAGTAAGGACAGTAAAATTATAAATAACAGTTATAATGTCCCACCAGACTATTATTAAATCAGAGTTATTTGCTGGTTTTGAACTCCTGACATATAGAGCATTTTATTTCTCTTCATTAGAATTCCAGTGTAGAGCAAAACTAACTTGCTTGGCTTGAGTAGCTTGATATCCTCTGGATTGGCCTACAATTAATGTGTTCTCTCATCAGCATCAATCGCTATCTTTGAAAAGAATTACTGTGAACCATTTCAAGGAAGTCAGCCAAAATGTCAAACTGAAAAGTGGGAGGCAGATCAGGAGATGAGGTCTCACTGTCCATCAAATACTGGAAAACATTTATTGATCCACAGATATCTTGAAATTTTAGAGAATATTTATTTTAAAACAGACTCCTTTTTGGGTTTATTTTATGTAATTTCCTTTTGTTTTTAAATTGTAGATGGAGGTAGGAAATAATACCCTATTTAACTTAACTTGGAATTTTCTGAGAAGAGTCACAAAAGAGTACACAGATATACAGTTAATTTCTGTCTTCTGATATGCAGCAGGCATAAAAAATGTGCAGGGAAGCCTTTTTCTTTGATAAATTATCATATGTTTACTAGAATATTAATTATCATCTTGAATATCTTTATCATTGTGGCATTTATTTTAATAAAAAACAATTTGGTCTAAGATTTTGGATAGCAGTTTTTAACTTCTTTTATGCAAGCACATGATGAACTTGAACTCTGAAACTGATCTAATTTGGATTTTACTTTCATATTATTTCTTACTAATATATTTTATCTAAACTAGTTAGTCCAAACTACAAGTACATATTTTTCTTACTGTCTATCCTATGTATCTTCCTTAGTAGGAAAGTAGTACCAGGACAAACTGCTAGATAAGACAGACATGGGAAAAACAGGGAACTGATTTTGCATTTACTGTGTTATGGCTGTGTTCACAAATGCAATAAATACCCTCTTGCTTCTGTAGTACAAAGACAAAGGCCACATCTGAAGGCTTAAATATAATCAAAGAATCTACACAAAATGATTCTATTCTGTTATGTGATAAGTACATGACCTTAGGAAATACCTACAATTAATATAAATGGAACTGCTTTGTTCTTTTATTTCTCAGATCTCTCTCATTACACCAACAGAAGTTTCAGTGTTATCTCTTTCAAGATCTGAGCATTAACTCAACAGAGTATCCAAGTATCTGTGGTTTAAATAGGCTATTTTCCATGGTTGCTGGAAATTCTATCTTCAATCTCAATGTAATGCTTAACTGTCAGCATTAACTATCAAAAAATTACCAGCTTCAGAAGGAAATATTTTTTTTTAATAAAATGATCTTTCAAAACACTGTGGTTTTAAAAATTAATCTACTTTTGCTCTGTTAAAAAAGAAAGCAAAAATATTATAGCACTTAAAGTGTCATACGAACAAGGCAGGTATGCGCATCTTCATGTAACCCTTATTTTTTTTTTTCTCAAGGTTACCAAGCACTGTAGGCATCAATTTCAAGAGCAAAGAGCAAAAAGCAGTTTAATCCCATGTAAAAAGAATGTTTTATTTTCCAAGGAAGGACAAGTATCCATATACTAGGAATGCATTGGTATTGGATGTGTATATGATGATTTTTCCACATATATAACATATTAAAAGAAGGGGAATTCCTGCTCATCTCTCACAGAAATTTTAAAAGAATTGCAGAATCATAAAATCATAGAATGGCCTGGGTTGAAAAGGACCACAATGATCATCCAGTTTCAACCCCCCTGCTATGTGCAGGGTCACCAACCACTAGACCAGGCTGCCCAGAACCAGAAAGGAGAGATTTCCCCTGAGAACAGCCAGCACTGTTGTTGATTTAGGATTCCAGCTAATTGAAAAATGAGTGGCCATTTGGCCGGCCAGTGCAGATGGCTGCCATTAAGACTGATAGCCATTCAGAACTGCTTGATATCAGAAAAAGGAATGGTAGATGTGATAGTGTGACTTTGGCTTTATGTTCAAATATTTCATTTTCATCCTCTTTTTTAAAGTTTAGTTTAACTTACATGCTGTATCTTTACCAGTGGTATTCATAAGGTATTTGTTTCTAGGAGGAAATATTCATGCTAAATTGGCAGGAATGGCTTTCAGATTTGGAACACTATCTGAGATCCTTTTGGACTGCAAAGACAAATTATTTCACATAGGGTGCTACCCCTAGATGTCTTGTATTCTCTGGGAGCCTCACAACAGTAGCTGAGAACAGAAAGATATCTCAGCGAACTGATGAAACTGAACTTAGAAACAAAAATTAAAAAAACAATTAGACAAACAATTAAAAACAAATTTATGTTTCTTTTTCTAATGCAGCCCTTAGTGTACTCCAATTCAGATGACTGCCACTGTTTTTCTTAGCCATGAAGATCGTTCTGCTCATTCTCACATGTCCCTCTTGGTTCTGTAACGTTAGCTCTGTTTTACTGCTTCCACAGGGACTTCAGCCCAATACATCTAAATTCTCCCTTGCTAGGAGAGCATCCTAGTGTTTCTGTAAGAAAGAAGGCAGTGCTTCCTTTCACCACTGCAGTCTACTTCAGTCTGTCAGCTCTGATAGAATGCTTTTTACATGGAACGGAGATTGGAATGTCTTGGCACAGCAGTGTATTTAAAACTCTCTTAACGCATGCTGTATCTCTATTACAATGAATTAAAAATTATTGCCCTTCATCTTCCATCAAGGACAACTTAATAAAAAAAAAGGGATAATGGAGAAGAAAGTCCTGAAGTTGGACACTATTTCTCTTCTATCTACAGGCAGCATGAGTATTTTTGAAACATATTTTTTGTCTGCACAGAAGATAAGATATTCTCATTAAGTAGTTTTGACTATCATTTTTAAGAGGAATCTTTCCCTCTAGAGTTTTCCTAAAATTTACGGGATAAGAATTGGTAGCTGTCCTGGGCAAAGTTAACAGCTTATAATGAGATTCATGCAGCTCTAATACTTCATGATATTACTTTGGAATTAATAACTTAGCCTATTTCTTACTTAGATTCCTGTCTCTCTTTATTGAGTACTGTTTCCAATTCCACAATTGTGTTTCATTCAGTCTTAAAATAACATAGTGGCATAAGTAACTGATGTCCTATTAACAGAAAGAACAGGAGTATAGCTGTGCATATCAAGTTCTGCAGTATTCAGTTTTCATGAGTCGTATTGCACTGCAGGCATATCGTAGAATCATAAAATGGCCTGGGTTGAAAAGGACCACAATGATCATCTAGTTTCAATCCTCCTGCTATGTGCAGGGTCACCAACCACTAGACCAGGCTGCCCAGAGC